CTATCCAACCTATTCAATATTTTGTTTTCAAAGTTTAGCCACTCGAATTTTATGATCTTGTACTGAGTTCTTGCCAAATAATCACAAGAAGAGATCAATATCCAGAGCCAGTGATGTGAATAAAGGAAATTCCGACAGCAATGCAAATTGACAAAATGGGAGAAAAAGGAATAAAGGCAGTGCTTTGTATTCTGGCTCCGGCTAATGACATGGTGAGATCTGAACAACCTATCTCAAATACGATGCTGGATGCTGATCACCCAACATTTTTCATCTCCCAGCACCAGATCGAGGTCAATGCACATGGAAATGGGCTTAAATGACCCATGTGCCGCCTATGGTTGGGCCTGTTAAAGCCTAAATAAAAAAAGTTGGGCCTCGTAATTGGGCTATATTGGGCAAATGAAGTATTCTTGGTAATTATAATTTACAATAAAAATTCAGAATTTAAGTGAAATTTTCAATTTCAATTTTCTTTGAGGAGACAGGTTGATCCTCGTACAAGTCCAACTTCGGCATCCAAACGCAAGCCGATCTGTAATGTTGAGTCCTCTATGGTTACTGCATCCAGATCCTCTCCCTCCGTTTGCTGATCTATTACAACTCTAGTTATGGCTCAGTGTTGGACATTTGACGGCAATGAGGCTGTGTTTGGTTCAATTAAGTATAAATATTTTGCAATTTCAAATATTATTGGTAAATAGGTTGGCCAAAAAAAAAAAAAGGAAGTTAAGGAAGTTATTGGTAAAGGCATTCCCGGTATCACAGCTACAAACTCAAAGATCATTTACATTTGTGTGCGCGTCAATCGGGCGCGTTACGAGGATTTAACCCTTTTTGGGGAGTCTCAGACTCTCAGTGCTGTATGAGAGAAGCACCTTCAGTCAAATGCTGTGAGCAGTGAGCACTAGCGCCAGAGACAAACCGACGGCGGGAGAGAGAGAGGGAGCGACACGGCGAGAAGGGTTTGGGTATATTGGATCTAGCAGAAGCCGTGCAGCGTAGTGAGAGAGAATGGGAGAGGGTACGGAGGGTGGTGGTGTTTCTTTACCTTCGGGTCCGGACGCCAAGAAGAGGAGGGTCACCTATTTCTACGAACCCACCATCGGCGATTACTACTACGGCCAAGGCCATCCCATGAAACCCCATCGGATTCGCATGGCCCATAACCTCATCGTTCATTACTACCTCCATCGCCGCATGGAAATCAATCGTCCTTTCCCCGCCGCCCCCGAAGACATCCGCCGTTTTCACACCGACGAATACGTTGACTTCCTCTCCACTGTCACGCCGGAGACCCTCGCTGAGAACACATTCTCTCGTCAGCTCAAGCGCTTCAATGTTGGCGAGGACTGTCCCGTCTTTGACGGCTTGTTCAATTTCTGTCAGGCCTCTGCTGGTGGTTCCATTGGCGCCGCCGTCAAGTTGAACCGTGGCGATGCTGATATTGCCATCAACTGGGCTGGCGGTCTGCACCATGCTAAGAAGTCTGAGGCTTCTGGGTTTTGTTATGTCAACGATATTGTCCTCGGCATTCTGGAGCTGCTCAAGGTTCACAGGGTAAATTCTATTTCTATCCACTGTCTGAATTCCCCTTTCCATTTTTTTTGTTGCGCCTTTCTTGGTTTATGATCCTTATGTTCATGTTCGATCATTTGTTGGTTTGGGACACTTATTGCTATATATGCTTCCATAGCTTGTTCTAATAACCCTAGGCTCAATTTGCTGCGTGTTTCTGGGTTTTTTCCTCGATCAATCCTCGGTTGCTGTTACATAACATGTAAAATTTTCCTATTGAACTTCATGGCATTGAATTTGAAACCAGCTTGGTGACATGGTGCATGGATAATTTAATTTGCAAGTGCATGGGAACTATCTATATGGTGTTTTGATGTAAAAACTTACGAGCTTGTGGAAAATTATTAAATCAAGGTACCCATATAGCGGGTGCAACCAAGATATCAGCCCGACACAAGAAAGTACCGTTAAGCACAGAGTAATGGCGTTTACGTTCATGTCTTCGTTCTCCAGGACTGATGCTTTTTATGTTTGGCAGCAATCACAATCCCCCCACCAATTGTGCTTATATTTATAGCTTCTTCGCTTGTTCGAAGGCAATCTTTCACGGGAAATTACATTGAATCCACAAACTAGCAACCAAATAGCCATTTAGATTTGTCATAACAGTGATTCTATTCCATTATTATTTCACATTTGAAACATAAGAGCAAATGCAAATTTATGCCATATGTTTATTATTCCCCTTTTTCCATCAGTATACTGTTCTTACTGTCCATTCTATGTTTCTGGGCAGCGTGTATTATATGTTGACATTGATGTTCACCATGGAGATGGCGTTGAGGAAGCTTTCTATACAACTGATAGAGTGATGACAGTGTCTTTTCATAAGTTTGGGGATTTTTTCCCAGGCACTGGGCACATTAAAGATGTAGGGGCTGGCTCGGGGAAGAATTATGCTTTAAATGTCCCGTTGAATGATGGGATGGATGATGAGAATTTCTGTGGGTTGTTTCGCCCCATCATTCAGAAAGTCATGGAGTTGTATCAACCTGATGCAGTTGTTCTTCAATGCGGCGCTGATTCATTGTCTGGTGACAGGCTAGGTTGCTTCAATTTGTCTGTTAAGGGCCATGCAGATTGCCTTCGTTTTCTTAGATCTTTCAATGTTCCTTTGATGGTCTTGGGTGGGGGAGGATATACAATTAGGAATGTTGCTCGTTGCTGGTGTTATGAGGTCCCTTCCCTCTGACTGAATTATGCATAATTCTTTTTGTTGTTAATTTGGTGACGCTAATTGATTACATTTCCATTCTCTGTTTTAGACAGCGGTGGCTGTAGGTGTTGAACCTGATAATAAGTTGCCCTACAACGAATATTTCGAGTATTTTGGCCCGGACTACACTCTTCATGTTGATCCGTGTAACATGGAGAACCTTAACTCGCCCAAGGATATGGAAAAAATAAGGTAATCTTAAACATTAGTAACTTTATCGTTGAACTAAAATGGAAGATTCTGATTTCAGATTCTGAATTCAGTTACTCAAATTTATTAAATTTTTTCATCCTTTCTGCAATAATGATCTAAGAATCTTCTGGCTAGTTGTATAAACACACGAGATATAGTTCATGCCCGGATGACGGCCTTTTTCTTTGTCATTTTCATGTTGGTTGCATTTACATCATTAGGCGACAAGAGCTTGAGTTTTCTGAGACTCCTATTACCTTTGTTGCTGTTAGACTTTGCATAGAGCAAACAATGACTAACATTGATGAGCTGTTTTTTCAGGGCCACACTATTAGAACAGCTCTCCAGACTTCCTCATGCACCCAGTGCGCCTTTTCAGACAACACCATCTACAATTGAAGTTCCAGAAGAGGTTTGTCCTTAATACCTAGTTATGGATGTTGCCTCCTCACCTTTTTCTTCTGCTGGTTTGACTTTATTCAGTAAATGGATTTAGGTGGAAGAGGACATGGATCGAAGACCAAAACGTCGCATATGGAGTGGTGAAGATTATGATTCTGATCATGATGAAGATGTGAGGCCTAGTCCAAAATACTCAAATATAAGGTAAATATCATATTTTGTTGTAACACTAGTAAATGCATATGGTTTCTGCAAAAGATTTTAGCCTCATGTTTGGCGGGAGCGTGGATTCTGCAGTACTCCTTAAACTTTTATATGATTTTCTGTTTAGCCATTTATCAAAAGTCAAGGCGCTATCCTCATGCATCTCTAATTTCTTTAGAAGATTATATGCCAAGTAGATGTGTGTTCTGTGCATTGATTGGAACACTGCTCTTGACTTGGCTTCCTATGCACTTTACACACATGCATCCATGCTCACACAAAGATATTGATTATTGATATTGATGGCTGCCATGCCAATGCATCTTTTAGCAAACTCCATTTAGTGGTCGGGCCGTTGGGCTGAGACTGTGTGCCATCTTAATATGCATAGGCATCGTCTCATTGGAAGGTAGATGTTTGATTGACCATCAATGAATCAATTTTATTAACGGGCAAGACTAAGCTGAAGTTCCTCGTATCATAAGATTCTTCATTGGAAACATAACATGTGTATATAATTTTTCCAACTAAGCACTCTTTTTCTTTCATACACTTATAGTTCCTATTGTAAATTCTTTCATTTTTATAATTTCTGCTATTACAAGATTATACATTTTCCAAAATAAATATCAATAATCAATATAAAATATAAAATCTATAAAAGCCATACTTTTCACGAGTTGTGAATAGCATGGTTCACTTCTCAAACTATGTGCAATACGCGAGAGGTCCGCATGATTTTATAAATTTACATGAAAACCTTTACGACAGCTTCAATTCATATTAAAGCTCAAATCTGTTCACGTGCCAATGATGACACCCTTTCCCCCTTTCTTAGAAGAAATACTGTCGCATTTCATTTAAAGGTGAGAAATATGCTGTGTTTCAGGGATGTTCCTGATGAGATGGAAGAAGAGAAGCCAGAAAGGCAACCATCATCCTGACTCGTACGAAAACAGAGCAAGTTCTTGCACAGCCAGTCCGTATTGCGGATGTTCCGGTCGGTGGGAAGTGCAGTGCCTTGTGCTAATGTATACTTGGTCTTCGCACGGTGGAGGAACGTTTTGGGGTTTTGAATATTTTTATGTATAGACACTAGGTAATAGTGATGAATCGGGTTTTTCTTATTGTCTTGCATATTCGTCCCCCAGCCCCCAACGTCAAGACAAGTTATGTGAAATCACATTCATATATATCATGGTCGCGTGCTCTACAGTACAAATGTACGATTCATGTATCAGACTAATAATACTAAAAAAGAAAAATCTTAGCCTAAAAATCAACCTAGTAATATAAGATTTCTCACTTTTTCTCAGGTCATGCTTGAGCCGGATATTTCAAAGATCTCAATTTAATTTTAGACGTTAAACCCTCATCGGAAAGAATTAACATCCGGGAATACGGTGAGGTAACCGGAGTACTGCCAGATTCCAATTCCCATAACCTCAACGTTTCTCGAACAGCCTTTAAAACTGAGTAAAAGCCGGTTATGGAAAGTCTCCAACGTAGAAACGCCGATAAAGCGGTCCGCTCAACGTGTATTGCTGTTCATCCAATTCTTTAAGTAAAATTAAATGCAATCTGCGAAAGAGCGCAGAAGATGTCAATGGTTCTTGCTTCGTCCCAAATGTACCTACCTATTCGCATTTCAGGCCATCCTGTCCAACACATCCCAAGGAAACTCTCTTTCCTTCACATAACTCCTCCAGCTTCACTGGCCGTGAAATGCGAGCAAAATCGACAGTCCACCGCGCTAACAAAAACCCAAGACGACGGTATTCCCATTGAGGACGTCACCATTTTGGCGAGGTTCAAGTCCAGGTATAACTACATCCGGGTGCTAGAAGTTTCGCGAAAAGCCGATCACCCTTTCGCCGGTTCGAGGCTCCTCCTTCTCGATGGCCCTGGAAACATCCACAGCATATCCTTCCTTTTCAGACTACTCACCAACACTTACTTCGACGTCTTCGCTACATTGCCTCCCATTTTGCCCCCCGGACCCATCGGAATTCTCGGCTTCGGTGCAGGCTCCGCGGCCCGTCTCATGCTTGAATTGTACCCAGAAGTGGTCATCCATGGGTGGGAGCTCGACCCATCTGTAATTGACGTTGGCAGAAAGTATTTCTCCCTCGCGAAGCTTGAAAGAGAACACCCACAGAGGCTTTTCATATATATCGGCAACGCCTTGACTGCTAGCTGGAAAGACGGGTTCGCGGGGATTTTGGTTGATTTGTTCTCCAAAGGTAGCTTGCTACCAGAGCTTCAGGATCCGGCCTCGTGGGAGAAAATGAGCAAGAGCTTGAGGAAAGGCGGGAGAATCATGGTGAATGTTGGAGGAAGTTGTGTAGAGGCGGAGAATAAGCTGAGAGATGGAAAGATTGTAATGGAAGAAAGCTTGAAGGCGATGGAACAAGTGTTTGGTAAGAAGCTTCATGTCCTGAATCTTGGGAATCGGAAGGACGATAGCTCCCTTGCTCTTACCGGGGATTTTCCTGAACCTGAAGCGTGGAGAAGGCGCTTCCTCGTTCTTTGGGAGACTACGTTGATTTATGGACGCCGTATTCAGGTTAGTGTTGGTGAATCTCGGGGCGGCAAGATGACGCTCTTTCCGTGTTTGTATTTATTCCTCTGTGAAATCACTTTGTCGGAAATTTCCTCTTTTTGTCCCGTTTCCGTCGCTTTCCAATTGTATCTCTCGTGCAAGCTTGTTCCAGTCTAACGAATTATATTTTTTCAATCAGCATGAATCTAGATCAAAGCATGCGACGAGAATGCAGATTTTGGTCTTTCATTGAAGCTGTGAAGATTTACTCCTTGTTCTCACTTCTCACTCTAACATGCTTCTGAGTTGTCATTGTTGCCATATGACTCGCGCTCTCGTGGCAAGTTCTTACGAGGGCCCTAATGAAGATTATGCATTGTTTTGACCCAGAATTGTACTGCTCCAAAATTGAGAAGCATGATAGAGAAACTACATTGGTTTGGTTCTGACTTCCGACAAGAAGTGTGGATTTTGTTTTGAGAAAATCCCACAGATATTAAATTTTAAAATTTTAAATCAGTATTAATTATTATATTCATAAACAAAATAATTACATTTAAAAAGGAAATGGCAACATATTTTTGTAATATTTCTTATTTAGAATTTTAAAATTCAATAATTATTTTTTTTGACATTTTTCTTTTTGTTTTCCTTTCTAGATGACATGTCACGAAACAGATTAAACCGTATGATTAAGACCCATAGATTGCAGTGGCTGATGAAAATGTGTTAGCATATTTTGAAGCTAACGCCTCTAAAACGTTTGTAAAATTCAATCATAAAAGTACATTTACTCTGTTATATTTAAATTTTGATTGAAAGTAAAATAAATTACCAGAACCTTATCCTTAAACTTCATATGCTCCAAATTTTTAATTTGATTATCTTTAACTTTTTTAACAAATTAAAAATAGATAGAAGGTTAGTTGAAAAAACAGGCAACTAACCAAACTGAAAACATGAACAATAAGTTGGAAATTCACGGAATGTTAAGTTATAATATAAAATAATTAGGTTGAAGTTTTCATATTTTATAAATGCAAATGTTTTAATAAATTCAATGATAAATTACATTTATTCTGTATGTGATCAGCTTCCTAATAATAAGTTTAAAATATAACCCTATTACTCAAGTCTACTACATAAGTTTGGTTTAACATTTTAGGTAGACTAAAAATATTAGTTAAAAAGTAGCTATAAATATGTAAATAATTTGTGAAGCTGAGATAGAACCTTCATCCTATACGAGTTTGAGTGATTAACTAAATAAATTACATGTTTCCTACAGAGATGCAAATTATTAGATAAAACAGTTGAAAAGCTAGAGTATAAGGCAAATTTTGGTCAGGAAAAAAAAAAAGAGTATAAGGCAAATATAGTTACTAATATGCCTCCACAAATGGTCCATATTTGCTTCTGAATTGCAAATTGCAGTTTTGTCTTATTTATAACCTTAGTTTACTTTGGGTCGCGGAACGCTAGTAGGAATCTAAATGCTAATTTTACGATTAAATAAAACACACGAAAATTATCATAAATAATTGGGATTAGAAGTTCATCAATTGAACAATAAATATGAATATATAATTATAAGCACATATGTTTTGTTAGGTCTTATATATGAAAAAAAAAAACACTATTAAGATTATGTAAATAATGCGACTTGCTTTAAACTTCATACAAAATATGTGTGCTTCCAATCTAGTTTATATTTATTTGAAAAAGACCACTTTACATACTACCTCGGTCTTTATACAGGACTTCGTTTGACTTTTATTTTAATCTTAAATAGAAGATTCTAATCCACGTTGTCTTAATATTTATACATTTTTTTTTCTAAAACAGTTCTTCTAACAATGGTAATTCTAGTTAATACACTTGATTAGCAAGGATATTTTAGGAAAAACAACACCTATTTATGACAAATAACTAACTTAATTTCTTTCCTTAATCTTTTCAAATTAGTCAACTAACTCTTATAATTAGGACCGGAGATAGTATTAATTAGCAGGACTTTTTAATTCAAATATAAATTAGTCATGGCCGAGGGCGAGGACATTTTGTTTGAGAGACTTCCTAAATATCCTTCACAGAAAACATAAATCTTTTGCTTAAAATATAATGTCTTGGGGGAAAAAATGGAACAAAAAATTTGGCTGTGCAAGGCTCTGTAGCCTACAAAAGGGGGAAAACTGATGCAGAGCATTTATGGAATCACATTATAACTTGTAACAAGTTTGTCTTGTTCACCACTGATCGTTGTTCCTTTTCAGTGAGTTTCTTTCTGCATCACAAAAGCGCTTTCGTTATTTATAGTAATTGCATGATATGGTGATTTTGCAGTAAGTGTAAGACGCGTCTCTCTCAGAATCTGTTTTCACTTCAGCCTCTGAAATTCTCAGGCCTTCATCCTTATGTCCAAGACGGCGACGTTTTACTCATTTCCCAAGAAATGCGTGGCTTGGGAATGAAAAGTGAATTTGATTCTAATATTCTTGTGGGTAGTTTGCTGGTACTACTCGAAATGTAAATGCATGACGTGCAGATTACGAGAAGAAGCCGTAATTTTCCAAAAATTAAACTGGGAAGGTAAGATGGCGGATTCTGTTTCGATCTTCTGCATCCCAGTCAACAAATGTAAAACCTGAAAGTGAGACCCAGGGTTGTGCTAAGTCCAAAACTGAATATCATTTCTTTGTCATTCGGTTATTTCAGCTCTTATAGCTTGCAAAGCTGTGTTTTTTTAGGCTTTCAGGATTTTTGATAGGATTCTGGATAAGTGATTAAAGGTTAGTACAAGTCCACTTTCTCTGCTCTTCTTTGTGCTTGTTACGAAGCTGACCTAATCAAAAGATGATGTGTAGATTTTGAGGATAACGAAAGATGAGTTTAACATTAAAGCTAGACCTGAGCACTATGTTCACGAGGCGTAACTTCTCAGTATATTGCAGGGAATAATAACAGGTGATCGGACAAAGATGCCTTAACTGGAGGCAGTTTTTTTGGCTAATTCTGAAAATTAACAAGGCAGAAACCCGGTTAGTCCTCTGTTAGTTCTCTTTATACAGGAAGTACTCTTGTCAGTTATAGAGAAGTCTCTTACTATTTAAAAGCTTCCTTGTATTAGTATTGAGATGCCCAACAATTTGTCCGAATTTTTTTGGGTTTTCACAAGGGGTAGAACCCCACGTTTTGTCTGTATAGTTAACTACGTGCAAAACTGAAAGCTGAACGTAAATTATACAAATATATGGAAGACTCAGTTTTTGAGGAGGGAAATTTGTATTCTTATCAGATAATAAACACGTAGAGCGTAGAGACTGAGAGGCGCAGCTTATATGTGACTATGGAGTTAGTAGAAAAGTTAAATAATACCTAGAGTTTGATTGGTCCATTTGTTTGCATTAGTCAATCCTATAAAGTACAACCTCATCATGTCTGCAGGGTTTCACTTGTTAAATATGATTGATCGCTGTCTCATTTTTGTTTGGACTGATATCTTATCTCTCTGATAGATCTAATGTCTAAAGAAACATGAACGTGACTCACTATTGACTGGATCGCACTGAGCACAATAATTAAGGCCTGCAGAGAGATTTGCTTGTCATCATTTTCAATTCCTGATGGTCAGTTTCAGCATGCATGTATTTTCAAAAATTGGCTTCTGAGCTGAAAATGCACTGAGAAAGTGACTACACTTGAAGCATTCAGTGGCTAAAATTTAGCCAAACTTTTCTATCATTTGTGCGTTTATCTGTCAGAAGCAACATCGCATTCCTAATCTGCTATTTTCCAGGGTCTTCACGTGTCATGAAGTGCTGAATGCGGGAGCTGAGTTATACTTGCAAGCGGCAGAAAATCTGTGGACCACCAGTTCACCAGGTTAGTACTCAATTCTTCAAGTGGTAATTTCCCTTTGTTTTCTTTAGTTACTGCTGCCATGTTTGATCATTGATCCATATACATGAATAATTGTGACTCTCTTGAGTATTACTGCTCCCATGAGCCACCTCGGGGGGACCTTCCCTTCAATCACAGTAAAGTTTCCTTGGAAGCTAACCATTAATTAGCTGGTATGTAAATGAGGTTTCATTGGCGAATTGAGATATGTGACCACAGACAAGGCTACCTGGTTTTCCGGATTATAATTTAACAATAATGACTACCATTATCGTAAACTTAGCTATATAGATAGCTAACTGAAAGTCATATCGTGCCAAATAGAGCTGCATTCTTAAAAAAGTGTTGGTCATGACTTCCTAGTGATTACCGAGCTTACTAAAAAATTGTGCTAGTACTTCTGTATCATGTTTTTTTCTTAAATACTAAATTTTGTTTTATTTCTTGTGCTATTCTTCAAGTACAGAAGTTTGCATTGCATTCTCAAAAGTGATTTGTGAATCTTGAAGGACGTATTTAAGATGTACTGTAATATACATTACTGTAGGTTACACACTACATAGTGATTTAATTAGCTGATGCTTCCTGCGTCCGTTGACAAGGGTTCAAGGTAATATCATTGATAAGGTTGCAAAAATATCAAGCTTTACTTTGCCTTTTTGTTTTCTTCTCTTTTTTCCTTTTCTTCTTTTTCCTCGTTTCTTTTTTGCCTTTTTTTTGGCAGTACTATTTTGCTGTCATTTTGATGATATACTTTTCTTCTTTTATTAATTCACTTAATATAAAATTTTGCGTGGCCACCAAAAGCACCTAAGGAATTTTCTTACTTGAGTGGATTGCTGGAATAGAAGTTCATGATATGATCATAATTGTAAGATAAGAAGAACTAATGCCCACATTTGATATATGCCTACCCACGATGGATGCCTTCCCTTTTAATTATACGTGATTCGTACCATGGCAAGTGATAATAATATAATTTTGGCATGTTGAGCACAGAGTCACCATCAAGAAGTCCACATCAGAGTAAACAATTCAGATGCCAAACTTTTCATCGCCCTGAAAAGAAAAGAAAGTATAACGATTCTTTGGCTCTGCGCGAGAACCCACTTATTGAGTCAATTCATTCTTCGATCTCCTCTCTTTCTTGGCTCTAATCCACTATGTGCAAACCTTTCTTGCACTACTTATGATTGTGCTAATCATCTGCCGTTACTTGATATATGGAATCTGATTTTGATGCCAAAAACAGGGTGCTGCAGGATAACTAAAGCTAGGTGCTCACATCCTTTTTCTGAGAGTGTAATTCCATTTATGAGTTTCTATGATGACCCTTCCTACTTGTTTCACAATTTACTGTAACATATAGAACAATTCTCTGCATTACCCGGACATCTGTATGATTGGTTAAACCTTGCAGATGGCAATAATCCGAACTCATTAAAGCTTTGCTTCTCTACTCGTTTTTATTTCTATTGCCTCATCATAAATGGCTGAGAACGAGAGAAATAGCAGTGCAGAACGCAAACAAAACAGAAAACCAGC